CCTATCGTCCACAATTTTTAAGATATTTTGATGAAATTTGGTACACTGACAAGGACGGCGTCCGTTCTTGGGAAAAAAGCTTACCAATTTTCATCGAAATGTCTCGAAAATTTCGGCCTTCGCACAGACGCGCTTAGTTCAAATCAAAAAGTTATTCTGTATCAACCGATATAATAAAACGTGTGTTCGGCTCAATTCCTTCTGGTTGTTGCACGTATCCGCACGCATGCTAATATATCTTTGCACCATAGTGATCTTGCTTGCTCAACATTATTATTGCTATAGCCAAATAAATTTTCCATTATCATCTTTTAAGGGGTAAGACAACCCCCGGAAATGAAGGTCATTCTTTTGTTGGCTTACATGATTGTTTAAATAGTGAAAAATGACATAAAAAACACGACTTAATAAATCCCTTAAATATTATTATTCTATTACTTTCCTCTCTGTCCCAAACAGTGATAAAATCCTCTTTTTCTTTAGGCAGCTACATTGACCCTTACTCCTTTACGCTACATTATTGCTACTTGTTAATTGCAGTTTGCTAGATTAGTCCTATTTTCCCAACTCGGTAGTCCATACGCTTAGATATGCCGAATTTACTTAAGTTACTGATTTATGTTTTTCCTCTGGTTGCGGAATCAAACGACCATCTCTCTCTTCTTCTTCCTTCGACTTCCATCTGCACAGAAGTATTCCTGTCAACCCACAAGCTTTAGAGTAGAAGTTTAGAGTAAAAGTAAAAAAACTTAAAATTTCTCAAGCATAGTTAGTTTCAATGCCAATGTTTTACACAAGTAACTTTTTTTTCCTTCAGAGAGGCAGAAACAAAGGAATTTGCCGGTGTCAAATGGCTTACTGCTTACAAGTCAATTTTTGCTGAATGATGACGTCGTTCTTTCATTTTTTTCGCAACAATTGCTTGATTTCTTTGACAACATAACACACTTTTGCATCATTTTATTGTCTGTTTCACTTAACCACAGACGACTTAATAAGATTTTATACCCAACACCACTTGTTGTGCAAGGGTAGATTAAGTTTGTCCGGATATATGCAACACCCAGGGGGATTTGAAGTGCACCCACCTCGTATTATACCGCGCGACTGTGAATCAATCTAAGCTCAGTCTGCCCTATCTGTCCGCCTTCGAAGAAACGTAGTATGTTGACGTGTTTTTTGGTTCAAGGATCATACCCAATGAAAATGATTCGAATAGGGTATTTAATGCAATGCCGTGGCACACTATGGCGTTTTTACATAATACATTTGAAAATAACAAACTATTTTCCTTCTTCTTCCGTCTCTGCGAATTAGCACGTGAACACCAGGTGGCTTGCGGAGTTAGGTAAAAATAATTTGCCATTGTACCGCCATCTATTGCGATTAGTAGTTATTTTCTATGGGAATTTCACATACACCTGTGTATGTAAAAAATTTCTTTCTTATTTGTCAGTAAGAAATAAAAAGAAAAAAAATATTGTTTTTTGACAAATAAATTCAAATAAATTCTCTTGAAAACGAAATTTTACTTTTTATATAACAATAATAATACAAAGAAATTAAAAGTACTAAAAAATTGTTCGTGAAATAATTAATTTATCAGTATTCGTGGGCTGGTCCATTTGAAATTCATTGTCAAAGATTAACAAGAGCCAATCTACCTACACAAGTAAATCTATTTCATTTATAATCAATTTCAAAAGAAATGAACAAAATTGCTTGAATGTGCGTTATTTGGCTTACATGGGACACTTACAGGGTCCATATATATATATATTCTCGCATTTGTGATAAGATATAGCGAAACAATAAAATTTTGATACATATTCTTAGGCTGGACAGAGAACTCGGTAAAGGTTCTCGTTGTGTGTCGCATCGATTCGTTGATTTTATTTTGTTTTTGTTGTCACGCAAAACAAATGAAAATATTTTTTTTTTATTTTATATTAAATTTCCGTTTTTTAATGCTTTTACGCTTATATTCAGTACGATAGTACAATTTCAGAGATGTCGTCACCATCACCTTCATTATTAACTACGAAGTATGGAACGGAATTTACTCTTCAAACGCAACTTATCTTAAGAGCTTACGTAGGACATGTTGTCAAGAGCATGACTGTGGTGAAGTCAATAGCACTTTACTCTGCTGTTTAATAGAGTAGGATGCAGTTATGACAGATAGAATCAGACGTCAGTGACCCCATGAAATGATAAACCATGAAATTGATTTACATGACGAAACCTCCTCAAATCATTTGTGATAAATATTCACATTAGTGCCAGTAATTAGTTCCCTTGTCTTTCCTAGAGCCTTCGTTTTATTCAGCGGTTTGTTCGTTGATCGATCACCACGCCTATATTCGAGTCGAAGTTGGATCACGGTGTCAAGTGTTCATTAAAAAGTTTAATCACTATTGGGTATGATATTTAATTGGAAGCCCGACGAGAGGCGAACAGAGGAGAGGATAAACCTTACGATTAACTTGGCTGATTAAAATCTCTTTCGCCCGTTACATACTCTCCGCGCCAAGTTGAATGCATCCTTGTTAATAGGTTGCGTATTAATGTGACGTTTACCGTTATATTTATCATTTCTAAATATTTGATGACCCATTTGCTCATTTCCCTCTCAGCAGAATATGTATTTAAAGCATTTTTAAATGAGATCTATACGCATTCGCTTGATAAACATTTGATAGAAAAAGAAAAGTCCTCCTCTGCGATATCTTTCCAAACTTAATTTGTGCGAAACAGATCAAAGAGAAAGATCTGGCCGGGTTTCGCTTTCCTTTTTAGACCGCCGCTAATTAATGCAAAAATTCTTCGTGCATTTTTGGCTCCTTCTCCGTGGAAAAATCGAACACATTCGCATTTGATGTTTCATGAGGAAGTTAGTGGAAATACTTTTCTTTTGTATATCCACCATTAAACATCCCAGTGTGAGAAATTCATTTTTCTCTTAAAAGAAAATAACGCAAATTAATCTGTTGACGTAAATGACGTCTACGGACGTCGATTGCGTGTGCTACAGATGCGAGATACGAGCAACGCGCTAAGTCGAGCCTGTAGGAGGCACTTAAAGGATGGCCAAGAAGACAGCGGATTTACTTGAAGCAACCAGAGAAGCTACTTAACGAGCCTGCTTTCTCTGCGATGGATCCACTGGCTAATATCTCTCTATGCCATTGCCGCTGATGAGCCCATCAACAACATGAAACCATGATATGCAAAAGAGGTTCAGCATCTATGTGGAACAATTTAGAATCGAACGTCTGTCTATGAATAGTGCGAAGAACTATGTGCCTTATCTTCCAAGTAACAAAGCGAAATCTTATCGTAATAACCCCATCTTACGTCTCGCTTTTGCACGCTCTTCTTTTTTAATAGAATGTTATTCAATTTATCTTATCTTTCAAAAGAAATTTCTTCTTCATTGTATTAGTGCGTTGGAGAGGGAAAGCAGTAAGCAAAAGCATTTTAAACACATCATAAAATAAGTTTTAAGCGGACGACTTATTTTGCTTTGCAATTTTCAAGCAATTTTGTTTAAAAAAAATATTTCACATCTTAACCGAGGCTGTTGGGCATAATTAATTCCATAAATAAAAACTATTTTAAACAACACAGAACAAGCAGCCATTCACCTCCCTAACAAAGTAGTGAGTGATTTCATTAAAATTAATATTAAAGCAAACAAGTTAATTAATTAAGAGATCTATTGAAAAAATGGGTAAATAAATAAAAGCAAAAGTGCACTATATTACGAATTAAATACCGATCGAAAGGAATGACGTGAGGGAATATTTTCATGACAGAAATGTGGAAATCAGGCCTTCTTTTCAAACGATATGTTATTCCATAAAGATTTAGATTCGCTCGAGAAACTCGCAATCAATGCGAAACTCTGCATTTCTTTAATGACATGAATGCCTTATTGATTCCCGATAACAGCCAGGGGGGTACTCCTTAGGTAAGCTTGATCGACGAGAGTTGCTTAAGCCAAACTTAATTACCGTATTTTTCTTATTTCTTAAGTTCAACGCAGATAGACTGTTGAAATTTAATAAAATAGTTATTCACTGCTTGGAATTTGCGGCCAAATCTTGAAATCATCTTAAAAAAAAAGGTGAAAGTCTTCGTATTGTTTTCTACAGTCCCCTTTGACGGGGACTGGACATTATCGTGGACTGCAAAAACACTTGCGGGCTGTCCGTCCCCGAAGAACACGATTAATTGGTCTCGTGTGGATCGAGACTAGAAAAAAAGGGGTTTCCGTTTTAGGAATTTCAAGGAATATCGCAAGACAATTACGCACATATATATACACATTAGCAAGTAATCTGTTTGTGATATGTGTTTACTTATATGTTGTATTTGGTTGTTTTTTTGCAAAACAATTACTCGCAAATCGTGCAGTTTGAAACAGCGCAATTCGGGGGAAGGTATTCGTGTTTCTTCGAAACGCTTGCTCTTAAAAGAAACAGCTAAGTAGATAGCTAAGTAAAAGTTAAAAATCATAGTTTATTGTTGCAGATCTCGAAATGTAAACCTTTCGTGTGCGTTTACGGAGAAGTAAGATGAATTACGTTTAGGGGCGAGCGATCAAAAAGCAGTGCTAAATAAAAAATAGTGAAACAAAACCTGAATTTCAATGGCCTCAAAAGTTATATCCGAGATAAAAGTTTGAGATGCCCAGAATAACTTAAAATAATCCGAGCGAACTATGTTTGATCGCTTTTTGAAAGTAAAGCCTGTTAACGGTTAAGCAAAATTTTAAAGTCGTGTTTACAATCGGAGGTCTTGAACGAAATCTTAACCTTTCTTGTGGATTTACAGGGAAGTAAGGCGAAGCGATTTCGGGCGCGCGATTAGAAAGTAGTGCTAAATAAATAATAGTGCAAGCTAAGCTTGATATTTGATGGGCTTAAAGTTAAAGTTTAAAAGTTGAAATGTAAAACTAGCTGCCTTTCTTTAAATACTCTTTTTTTTTAATCCAGGGTGGACTGCTCTAACACTACAATGAAGTTTAAAGGTTAATGGTATGCATCAGATTGTTATTCTTTCACTGTCATATTGAGAAAAACGAAAGGTATTTCTTTTCCCTTCTTAATGGTGTTGGGGTGTTCTTTCACACACACGAAACGAAATTATTTAATTTCTTTTACTAACATTTCATAATATTTTTGCATTTACAACTAAATAATATTCGCATAAAGACCTTTATTAAAAAACCAACTCATCCCAACTAACATTTGGTGCACTGGAATTAATCTACACCCTCCATACCATAACATGTGCCTTAACAGCAAGCCTTAAGACTCGTAAAAAAACAGAAATTAAAAAAAAAAAAATCATCATTTTCTTCACTTCATAACAGATTTTTGCACAAAAGAACAGAAAAAAAAAGAGAAAGAAAAGGAGTTGAATAGTGTGGGCTTATATGTTGCAAAATTGTTTACTACATACACACATCACATCCTCTTAGGTAAGAGTTGTTCATAAGAAGAAGAAGAAGATGCCGCTTTTCGCCAAAAAATCGAATAAATCGTTCGATAATGTAACAGCTAATGAGAATAATGTGACGACAAATGGTGGTAAACCAGTTTTAACGAATGGCGGCCATACGCAACGTAGCAACTCATCGCTTAATGGATCAGATTTCACAAAACCTCAATTGATATTTCACTGTCAGCTAGCGCACGGCAGTCCGACGGGTCTAATAACGGGATTTTCCAGCGTACGTGAATTATATCAAAAAATTGGTGAATGCTATGATATACCCCAAGAAGAAATATTATTTTGTACTTTAAATTCGCATAAAGTAGATATGACAAAATTATTGGGCGGTCAAATCGGGTTAGATGACTTCATATTTGCCCATCGTAAGGGTCAACCGAAAGAGGTTGAGGTTCTCAAATCCGAAGATGCTTTGGGTTTGACAATTACCGATAACGGTGCTGGTTTCGCTTTTATCAAACGTATCAAAGAGGGTTCAGTAATGGATCGCGTCGAACACATTTTAGTTGGTGATCATATTGAAAAATTGGATGGTATGAGTATGGTGGGTAAACGGCATTATGAGGTGGCACGATTATTGAAAGAAGTACCGACGGGTAGTACGTTCACGTTACGCTTAATTGAGCCAGTTAAAAGTGGTTTCCAAGGTATTGGGCCACGATCACAAGGTCGAGCACCCGGTCGTGGCTATGGAACTGGCAAAGAGACTCTACGTTTTAAGGCGAACGGCAATGCAGAAATTGAAGAGAAATTCGATGAATCAACGCAAGCAGGTATCGAGGCCATAAACAATTTGCTTGAATCCTTTATGGGTATAAATGACAACGAGCTGGCCACATTAATTTGGGACTTGGGCACAGATAAGAGTAATTCCATGGATTTCGCCGAAGCCGTTGATAATTCAGATCTGGAATCATTCGGTTTCACGGATGATTTCATTATCGAGCTGTGGGGTGCAATAACGGACGCTAGACGCAAAAAAGCGGAAAAAAATTAGCGCAAAATGTGCCTTACATAGAAGCATCTCTCTCTGTATGTAGTTTTAATATTTAAAATAATTAGTTGAAATCATGCTGTTTTTTGTTTTTTTTTAATTTTTTTTGTTTGTTTTTTTACCTTTAAAGACCTAATAATTGCATTTATAAAGAAAGTAATTTAAAGAAACAAAGACAGACAACAGCCCTATGCAATATTAAGTAGTAATGAAGTTGCGAAGCGAAGGGAGAATGAGAAAGAGAGAAGTACCATAAATGTCGGCAACCTTTTCTCCACTAAGTTAAATAACAATTATTATAATAATAGCAATAGACATATCTGCATATCTACTATTTTATTGCCGCCGTCGCCGCCGCTTATTGACTTATGATAATTTCATTCTTTGTAAAAATTTATTTATACATCAAATAAATCTATTCCTGGCCGTATAAAATTTTCTTGTTATACGTTATATATATGTGTTAGTTCATCATATTAAAAAATACTTCCCCATCATCGTGTTTGTTAAACTTTTCCTGTTTTTTTTTTGTTTAAATAAATTGAATTTAATTCAACAAAAAATTATTTTATGTAAATTTATAGAAACGTGTTTACTTTAGTTCCGTTGCATATGAACATATTAATTAATAATAAAAGAAAATTTCCTAAATATTTATTTTTTATTTTTATTATAAATCATTTGTGTTTCCTTTTTTTGTTCTGCTTTATTTATTATGTGCGGTAAGTCGTTTTTCTCCCAAAGAATAGAAAAAAAAATTATAAATGTATATATGTATGCATATATATACATACATATGTACATATTCATATATACATTTATAATATATATATATATATACATGTATATATATATATATACATGTACGTATATATATATGTCTGTATATTATATACATGAGTTTTTTTCTTTTCTTTATAGTCGCATCTCCATTGACCTTGGTTAATATGTTTATAGGTTTTTATTTAGACTAATAGTTTTGTTTACATCAAAAAATATTTCTTTGTTTAAATTTGATTGTTGCGTTATATAAACATTTTTTTCGTTTTTTTTTTTTTTTTTTCGTTATGTTAATCACCAAAGGGTTTGAGTTCAATCACTTTAGCATTGCAGTCGTAACATCCATATGAAGACTTCGTTTTTTTTCAATGTTTGTCTCCCATTGGTGTAACATGGCGGTGGTTAGAATAAAATGAGAAAAGTGGACGAGATAGAGATATAGATGGTCGCAATCTAGTGAGTGCGTGTCCAATCAGTAAGTTAGGACCGAAGAAAATTTTACCGCTCTTGAGATTTGAACCCGCGAACACTGACTTTTTAGTCGCGATTCTTACCTACTCTCCTCACCAGTGTTAAATTTTGTAAATAAGAAAATTTTAAACAGAAACTTCATCCGTTCAAAAGCAAACTTGTACTGGCTAAAAAGTTGAACCAATAGGTAAAAGTGGTAATAAAATTTTATTCGTAGAGCGCTCCGTACCTAATCCGTAACATGTTGCAGACAACTATATATTCAGATGATAAGTGCCTACTTAAGTATTGTCCCAAGGTGTACACCACTTGTAGTACACGGGCATATTAAGTTTGCGCGGATGCTTGCAACACTCAAAAAGACTTGAGATAGACGCATCTTTTATTGTACCGATCAATTCAGAATCACTTTTTGAACTTATTTGAGGCGTTTCTGTCTTGTTTTTTCGGATCAAATCACTTTTTCGACGACTTCCCGTATTTTTGAAAGTCCTGCCATGAGCAACCAGGTTGTGTGATGGGGTGTTTAATGGTGAACAATGGCCCACTGCAATGTGTATACTTGTTTTTATATGACTTTGCTTCAGGTGTAGTGTGCACGCAAAAGATTTCACTAAAGCTAAAATACTTAACATTCTTTGATTTTTGATGATCTCTAAAATTTCAAAATTCCATTGTTCAAGTATTTTCAATCTTTTATTGTTTATAAATAAATCTCTCATCTGAATATTAGATTATGCCGTTATGAAAGCAATGCAAAGGTATTCTGCGCCGTTTGAGATTTTCTCAACTAATTCTCAAAATTTGTATAAAAATAACATTTTTGACCCGAATTCAGTAAAGGTGTGTTTTCAATGAACGATAATATTTCGTCAGATATGCTTTCATCAAAGAATACAAAATTCTGAAATTGGTTCACATTAATCGTTACATTTATTCATTCGAATCAAAGATGAATGAGAAGCAATTCACGATTTTTTTGCGCCGTGCATCACTTTTAATAAGAGTACATGAAGTCATGGCGAATGAATGTGCAAGACGGGGAAGAACTTGAGAAAGATTCAACTTATGTTGCGACAAACGATTCGTAATCGCTTTTTAATTCCATTTAAACTTTCTTTTTTTGGTGTCGGAATGTTTTGATACACTGCCTTATCGTGGCCCAATCACGAATGCTATTGGAAAAAGATAGGAGAGCAACCATTTTGTGACCGTTTCCCATACAAGATATTTTTTCAATTTGCCTTTTTATGAAGAAAACTTGAAGCTTTCAAAATTTCTCGAGAAGAATTCTATAGTAATAGTACTTACTATGTTACATTTGAGATTTGATGACAAAAATAGGCAAATTTTTTGAACAATCAATCTTTCATATCACGATAATTAAGGGCCTTATATAAGAAAAATTTCTAATCTTAAATATTCTATGATGAAGTGGAATTGGTCCATAGCTTTACTTTGAAGTAGATATTAACTTTCCTACATTTATGCCGTAGAGATGTATTTTTTGGACCCCACTCTATGTACAAGTCCCCATGAAAGTAAATCTTTGTAGAAGAAACAAATTTAATTTTTAATATTGTGTAGCGGAAAATATCGGAATTTCGGCCATGCAGGCTAGATGTTTTGGACTCCACTTCATGTAAAGGTTCTCAAGAAAAGCAAACCTTTATATGATAAAAAAAAGCTTAATTTTTAATACTTTACGATCAAAATTAGTCTATAATAATAGTTTGATACTTACCGCAGTAAATTTGGACCATGTAGTTCTATTTTATTGACCCTTATTTTGCTTAGGGGTTCTTATGAAAACTAAGCCTTTACATTGCAATAAAGAGTTGGAAAATCTTAAAGAAAACAAGTAAAAACACTACAGGCCACCATTAAACGCTCTACACTTCCTTACTGTTATTCATATAACGACTTTGCAAGAAAAGTGGTCGGATCCTTGAGCCAAAACACGTCATTGTACGATATTTCATCAAAATATGTCAAAAATTTACGGCCTGCAAGCTGAACACAAGCAAACAAGATCGACAGACGGACAAGCTTAGATAGATTCAAAAACGATTTTAAATAATAAAAAGTGGGTCGATCCCAAGTTCTTCTGCGTGCTGCATATAGCCGCACACAAATTCTGTGTACCCTTATATTACGAGCGGTGTAGAATATAAAAATTACATTTGCCAAGTTTGGACACATGAGTCTTTAAATTTTGAGCACGTTTTCATAGGAGAGCTCCTAAGAAAAGCACGCTTTTCCAGCGAAATAAATGATGGTTTCCACAATATTAGAGAATGCATTGTTGTGGATGACGTGGCATAAGGTATTCAATACTCGGTTTTGCCATCACGAAAGAACGTTTCAGAGATTTTACGAAGTATAAATATTCTCTTTAAGTGTCAAGTCCTGACTCAATTTACGCCTTTCCGCCTTTGCAATGGCCGTGATAAACAACATACATTGTACAAATGGAGACATCATCTTCAAATTTGTCGAAAACTTTGAATGTTATTGTACGCAGGCTGCTACCGGGCTGGTTCTAACCGGTCAAAAGAGCTGAGAATAGGAAAATTGGTTCTTTGTTCGTAAGAAGTTGCGCGTATATTCTATAATAAATACAAAAAGGGAAAAATCGGTGACGCCCACCCAATATTTCAGAGTATTGGAATTTCATTTTCTTTGAGGGATAATAATGATGGTAATTGTAGCAGATGTGACCATAGCAGAATATTATATTTTTACTTGTTTTCATTAATTGAAGTCATTACAGAGTTAAAGAGAGATTTATTTACCTGAACTCTTTATGGGTATTAATTAACTTCAAAGCGTTCTCGTTAATTCATTTGGCAGTGAGTAAATTGAAATTTGTTTGGAGGCGATTTATCTGAAATTTTCAGTTTCAATGTTCTCCTCGATGAAAAATGCAACACGAAATGCAATTAAAATGCAAGTGAAAAACTAGGAACACAAGTAAACCGACCGACGTGTGTCTATCCGTGATGCTTGCCATAAAAGCAAAAGATAGTGCTGAATAAGTATCGTTTAAAAACCATGTTAATCGGAAGTAGTAATATGTTCAGAGGCTTTACAGGCTAATGGAAAGAATTTTGTGGAAAGCATTTTAGCGAAAAGTCCCTCGTGTCCTTTTGAACAAGCTTGGTAAGCTTAATTAACTAAGCTTGCGTGGGGTGCTTAAAGAGGCTGGTTAAACAAACTTCAAAAGACCGCAACTTCATCTGAAAGCTTAGTTAGTCAGAAAGCTAAGAGCGAGAAAATAATGCATGAAGTTTTAATGCACATAGTAACTTACAATGTAGCTTTGAGATGAGATATTACATTAAACGCAAATAACCATATACTTTACGGGATGTGATACGAATGAGTGGAACGATGACGCTGTCAATGGTTTGGCTTTTAAAGATACCTGTCAGAAGCTGACGTTCTTGGGCAACTATCCAATGTCAGCAAACGAAGCGATTTTTTCTACGAAATTAAGCCTCGGCAATATTTACATCAGCGCCTATATAAAAGAGAAAAGCTGAGAGAACGTCCTGCAGGAAGAATCACTTTGAGCGACTTTATATTTGAACTCTGAAGCCCAAATTGTTAATTAGAGAGCAGCAGAGACAACTCCAGTTGTATGTCTTTATGATAAAGAATCTAAGGACTGAAGAAGAAATGCATTACATGTTTAAACTGTTTTTACTGCTAAGCGAAGAGAGTTTCAAGATAATAGGTGACCCAATATCCACTTATCCACGCAGATAAGATATAAATATTTTTTTTGGGATGCAGGAAAATGACAACGCAAATCTTACCTCACCTACTTCCCTCACCCCTCGTAACACGTACGTGTTACCTAACTTTGAGTATTCTTTAAATTCGAATACGAAGTCACCCCACCGTATGTCGCTGTTTATAGGTTCAAAATTGAGAAAACATGAAATTCATACTACTTTAGAAGAAACCAAAGGTTCTCATCAGGTATTCACCCGAAAGGGACAAGTGTTCACGCATATTATTGTAACATAATTTTGACAGAGCAGTTATCGTTCGGTAAATCAATCTTCGATGACTTCGAAAGTAACGTGATCTCGCGAATCTTTAAGGCATATCGTCATCGTCATTGCACTCTGGGCTTAAGACTTATATTGTGTTTTTAGGTTAAATACAAAAGCGCATGTAAGGATGGACGGATAGACATGCTTGAAATAATAAAATCTATGTGCCTACCTCATGTCTTTGTAGGTGTCGAATAGATCCGCACAAAACTTAACATATCCGTAGTACGTACTCATTATATATTCATTTCTTCTTCTGCGAGCCAGCAAATCAACAATAGAAAATTTACTGAAATGAAAACACGAATTTTGACACGAAAGACTACGCAATACAATACGTATTTGTTTCTATAACTTTGGAATATTATTAACGAACATATGTGAAGATCACATTTACATAAACAATACATTTTCCCCTCTTTCAATTATCTCAATATAGACTATGAGAGTAGCACTCAGATACATTTTAGATTCATTCCATTAAATCAAAGTCGAAAGTTGTTCGTTACGGTAGACAGTAAATTTCCGAATTTGTAAACAATTCCGAACGTCGAATTAAAAGAAAAAATAAAAAACAAAAACAAATCTGTTTACCCAGAAATCTAACCTTATTATTGTTTATCCAAATAATTATTGTCTGTGTTTTTCCTTAGCATACGCCATACATACGCTCCAACTAATACAAGCATAGCGAGCTTAAATTACAATGTTTCAACGGAACTGGTTTTAACGTAAAAAAAAACAAAAAAAAAAATGAATAAATAAATAAAGATTGTTGATATTCATACACAACAACAACTGGTTTAAGACGAAATTTCGGATACATATGGATTACATGAAGAAATTCTACCAGATTGTTTTTATAAGTCAGTCGTAGATAGTAAACAAAAGAGTGGTTTATCGTGAAAAGCTCTTTCGTTTGAATCAATGAATTTACTTTTCATTGCATACACAGCGACGAGAAATAAATCCATGTAACTGAAATATATAAATAAACTTAAGTCTGAAAAGGAAAGTTTACGCATAAAGCATAGTTAAAATTTTACTTAAGGCTAAGCAAAAATGCATAAATAACTGAAATGATGAAAAATGAAAATACAAAAATATTATATATATATTCGTGTGTTCTCGGAGAGATATGGTTCTGTTTTGTGCACCTACGTTGTACTTTTCGCAGTTTAAATGTAAGACGAATCAAGAAGAATTAATAGTTACCTATGAAATTGCCCGACGATGGTACATATGGAAATATGAAAAACTAAAGTGTTATGTAATTATTTAGACAAATGAAAGTCAGCGTAATAACGCATATCAGAAGGCTGTGCATAGTATCGTATCGTAAATAGCGTAACATTCAAAACTGTCTAAAAAACTTTCAAGCACAACTTTCTTGATTTTCAGAAACCAGATCGCCCAAAATTTTCGTTTATTCTGAGATAACTTAACTACGCTTAGTACGGTAATGCTTTGCACACGCCTTTTTCAAAATTGTCTTTATGTAAATCAAAAGGAATCGTGTCGAACTTTGGTCTTGGGCCCTGTGAGAAGAAAAGCGTGTGTATTTCTCCGCAAATATTTTCATGCGCATTTCTGCTCTATAATAAACGAAAAAAAATTAAATTAAATCTACCCTATACCACTCCGGTTAACACTGGTCGAAATCGTGGTTCGATCCGAATCACTTTCAATAGTGTTCCGCCTTGGGCTAAAATATGTCCACGAGCCAAATTTCAACGGAATTGCGAACTGCAGAATGAGCGCAGAGCCGTCAGAACCGTCCGCAAGGTGTAAAAAGTTGAAGTGAATTGCGGGAAAATTTTTGCTCGTCAGTGTATATTTAAAAAAAGCTTCTAATACAATACATTTTTGTTACTCTTACTATAAATACATACTATAAACATGTTTCTCTCCTTGTTTTTAGTGTGCTTTGCTCTCTCTTAAGACATGCACGTATAAAGAGATCTTTGCTTGGTTTCTTTTTTATGTTTTTCTTAATATATATTAGTGGATGGGTTGTTTGAATAAAAGTTTCAGTCAAGAAATTCAATTTGGAGGAATAAGTACTAAAAGTTAAAACATTTAATGTCGAAAGCGTATAATAGTAGATAATGTGAAAAAAACTAAATTAATTAAAGCGTGAAACCACAAGAAAGATCTATCAAAAAATAAAAACACTTGATAATTGATAATATAGCATATATTTGGAGAACGAAAAATTTAAAAAAATAATTTGGCAAAACTCGAGAAGATAAAGTGTGTGTATATGACGAAATAGAGTGAGTGAATAGAGAAGGATAGATATGAGGTGAATAGACTATGAGTTGGTGTGCAACGTTCAATCGACGTTCAACGTTATTAATAAAAATTGTAACATTTGGACGAAAAAGAATAACAAAATAATAATTAATTACACATCAGTAGCTTTTCGCTGAATTGAAAACAATAAATATGCAATAAGAAGGTTATCGGGAAAGATCGATCGACCCATTAGATAAAAAGAAGTGTATTCATTAGCCTTAGTGAAGCGAAAACAAGGTAATCATTTTCCGTACAACAATATTTTCTTAATTTATTATTTATTAATAATCGTAAAGTGACTCAGTGTTTGTTGTGCGTTGCATGTTTGTTGTGTGTGTTGACGAGTGTTTGTTTTCATTTTCCCACAAAAGGATGGACTTTGATACCAAATTAGTACCGTCAATATTGTTAATAACCCATAAAATTACAATAAAAGGAAAAAAAAAAACAGTTGTCAGATATGAGTGGGAGAATAAGCAGCATGGGGAACATTAAGAGAAAAAAGAATATGGAAAAGAGAACGTGAACATATTGTATTGTTTGTGTTACAAGTGATTCTAATCGCAAGCATATATTCCCCACGGTTTGAGTCATGTGTGTTTGAATTCATTTGCATGTGTTTTGTTTCCATTTAAAAAGGCAAATAATTTGCTTTGATGTTCCATGCGTTATACGTTATACGTTTGTGTAATTATTGCAATTGTATTGAAAAATTTTTGAGGCCACGATAGTGCCCCAAGCAACAGCAGCATCTCTATTTAACGAATATAACAGATGTAATAGTTTTGTTACTGAACGCTTAGCCTGCGTTTATTGCTATTATTGTTGTGTTTATGGCAAGAAAATATTGTATAAATTATTAATTAAATTAAGTGATTATAGAAATTATTGAAATTGAGTGCATAGAAAAAACAAGGGCCAATATTACGCGGCATTTGTTGAATCGAATGAGTGTAGGAATGAAGGAAAAGCTCTGGTTACACCAGATATTTATTGGGTGATATATGTATACATGCATATATAGGGTTAGTTAACTTTGATTTTGAGCTTTTAGCAATTAAAAACGTATGAAACCGAAGTTAGACCGGAGATTTATTGAGTGATGTGATACCTATATCACGTTCACTTTGATCTTATTAAAACCAGCAGCAAATATCTTCTTGTAATCAAAAACCTACGTGGGCACATATTGCTCGAAGTAGTCCGCCTTGACTGGAGGCTTATTGAGCAATTTAATACATACATAGCTTGTCATTATCTTTGATTTTATTGGAATCAACAAAAAGCTTCTGGTAATCGAAAAAGTATGGGGATAATTCTCGTTCGACGTAGTCTCTCTTACCCTTTAGAGCTGAAATTTGTCTCGATATTTATAGAAGGGGTTGATTGAGAAACCAATAGCTTATATCATATTTTTAAAAATGAGAGAAAGATCACACATTTACCTGAGAAAGGAGGTTAATAACACGTCACATATTCAATAGAATACACATACATATATGAAGGGAAAAAAACCATGAATTGCGAACCGCTTAGGAAAATTGATTGCAGAGAAATTTTCGCTCCGCTTAAGCAGTCAAATCCAGAACTTAAACAAGTTGTGATTGTTGACGGAAAAGCCTTCGTTCAAGCTCTGGTCGGTCAAATTAATCTAGAAGAAGTGCAGGAAATGTTAACAACATCGGATAGTTCGTTTTCGATCGTGCTCGATTGCAAACGCAGAGCTGTGAGGAAAAACGCGTTCTACATGCCTAGCCGGTAGAGCGAAAGCACGGAAATTTCAGGGGATGAATAGTCCTGACATGTGCGACACTATTTTTAAGAAAAGAGATTTAAAAAAATTGACGTTGCTCCTTTGCTGCTTGGAATTTGGTTACCAGATATTGGCATTGCAATGAATTTAGACCCTTCCGGCCGTGGACATGGGGATAATACTTATCAATCGATAAGTTTCAATGTATTGTAAATCCATTTGTTTGCTATTGAAACTGCAAAGCCATGCACGACCGCAATGGTCTCCTAACTCCATAACTATTAGGTATAACGCGGACTCAATATTTAACTTATCTTATTCGTAATCTGTCTTATTCACACACTTTGGGTGTGAGTGTCGACGGGGAGAGAGCAGTTCAAGTATATAATGTAACGAAATAGATGACCCATGACGATGATGATAAAGAAAAAACTATCGTCTACAATGAAATTAATCTCTCAGTTGAAATCCCTGTTTAAGGGTATGAAAGAGACAGAAAACTGCTCGTAAAGAAATATGAGCCATGTAAATAAAAGTTATTAGTGAAAGCGGTGAAAGTGACGTGATAATGCAAGTCCTTGATATTTCGGAAGCCATCGTTTTAATTAAATCTTATTATCTCTGTTTAATGTAAGGCCTACGTAATCAAAGTCTAAATGTAAATCAAAGTAACGTTAATTGCAACAGAGAATATATCAGCTTATCTGGTGATAGGGGTCTTACAATATAATCACGTGAATAAAATTATATTGCACAACTACAAGATTCCTTATCAGCGAATTAGTCTCAAACACGCGATCACTTGTTATCAGTTCTGTTGAGCACTACTTTTCATAAAAAAAAGCTTTGCTATTATTAGGAAATGCGAAGAAATCTAAAGTTTCAACGTCTGATCGCAATGGATGTTCGATGTATTGTTCGCTCACACAGCAGACATCCGCATCTCGAGATTACCTAATCAATGTTTTGCGGTGTAAATGAAAATATATATAATATAATATATTTTTGTTGGTGATAAAAATATTTTGTGTTTACATCAATTTTCTAGAATTGCGTCAATTGTTTTCTTTTGTTTTCTTTATATATATATATGTATATATGTTTATATACATTTTAGTTTAATAAAGAATTCAAAGAGATGATGAACAATGAAAAATGCCTCATCATTAAATAAAATATTCGATATGTGTGCATGTGCTAGGAAGATTTTCTTTGCTTCTTTAATTGAAATTGTTGAATAAAACCATTTATTAAAATTCAATTATTTTAATATCAATTTTCTATATATTGAATGAGTCACAGGAGAATCAATACTTTGGGTGCTGTCTCTGCTGGCAGATGAGCAGAGAGTCTTCTGAACCAAACGAAACTCGCAATTATGTTTAAATTATTCCCTCTTTCTGAACGTATTTCTAACCAAATCGCATTGAAGTAACTCGAGGGTGACTATCTCAATGGATCGCAGGGTTATGAGAAGTATTCAGCTTTGAAACAATTAAGAAAGCGTTGGATAATTTCAAAATATCAGAGCAGCAAAACAATGGCGTTTACAGATGTATAAAAGAAAAATGAGTAGGTCTTCTCCCGTGGTGTATCTTCGCACGGTGTAGTCAGTGGCATAGGCCACTCAATGCAAGGGAAAATTCAAATAAAACGATAACTACTTACACCACCCTATACACAAAAAAATGGTGTATTCGGCTATGGACGAATCTTTTATGACCACCGTCTTTACCTCAAAAAAAAAAAAAAAAATTACACTATTGGGTAAGTGTGGCCCCACTCATTCCAATTTTTTAAAAGTACCGCTTTTTCTTGTTACAGTGTACGAGTGCGAGGGAAACATTTAATTTTTTTTTTTTTTTTTGCTTTTGAAGTGGACATATTCTCAGCGTGTCCTTGGATCGATTTGGTCCATTATTAAGCCCTGCAAGGGCCTCCATTGTTTTTGGCAAGTTTGAAGTCGATTTTTTCGTTTTTGCGAGCTGGAAAGTGTTTACATAGACATTAGACAGGGGGACAGCCGAATGCACCCAGATCAAGTCGATACTCGATACTAAACAAGAATGCAAATATGGAAAGGTCTCCGACTCGTTTTGCAGAAATTCTCTTAAGTGCTCTACGTTTTGTAAACGTCTTGACGCACTGCATATACCCACACCCCACAATGGTGGTTATAAAAACACCATATACGTGAGTGTGTTTGTTATCTGCTCTTTGTTATCGTTAACGTTTATTTTAATTTACGGTTTATTATGAATCAAAGTTTGTGCGAATGGTGCGATATTTTCGATTCAGTTAATATTTCTTTTTATTTTCGCTTAATTATTTATGTGTAAACGTGTAGATGTTTGTAAACGTATATGTGCATATGTGCATATATGTACGTGTGCATATATTTACATTGAAATTGTTTACTACACCTACAAGTTTGCAAGTAAGTCTATAAAAATATTTTCTTGTTTACAATTTTTATCCGACGGTTTCTTTGGGACAAAAACAGCACGTGATTCTGAAATGTTATCGCAGGGAAACAGGGGCAAGAGTTTTGTAAATAAATGTTGATAAAATGCATTCAACGATGGATTTGCCGGCTTAACTGACGAGAGCCTGGATCGTTGTTCTAGTTCCATCAAAAGTATTAAAAGTTTCTGTGCGCCTGCCTCAAGGTGAACTTTAGTGAAGTACACGATACAATGGAATCTAACTAGACTTAATGCTTTTTATTCCAAAAAATTTGCGTATGTGAAGGACGCACTAATACTACAAGCATTTCATGAATAAAAATCAGCTGTTTCTGCCCTCGCCTTTACATAATTCATCACTGTAAGAACGTAGGTTATGCACACATGAGCTATTTGCAATTGTCGTACGATAATGATAAAACTGTACTTGCGGGAATTGACCAATAGGAATTTTCATTACAATCAATTTTTGCAAAAATTAACGAAATAAATAAATGTAACGCGAACGAAGACTTGCAAAAAGTTTTTATTCCGTCTCTTAAAGTAACTTATCTTGCTGTGAGTCATTAACGCAACGCAATTAGTGGTAATAAAGTTTTGCAAAAATGTAAAAATTCCTTTCTTTATGTTCTTAAAAGCAAATTGTAAAGATAATGTTTATATAATAAATGAGTATAAAGTTGAGAACTTACCTCATGCAAGTAATAAAGTTGTTTAGTAAAATATCAATATTTTCTGCTTTAGGTAAATAAATGAAACTTGCTCGGATTTAAGATATTAGCTACCTATCGACTGTAATCTACAAATAAAAATATCCTTTCTCGAACGACTTTGGCTATTCAATTGTGGCGTACAGATAACTCAGCATAATAACTATTGAATCGGGTCGAATAGGCCCATTATAGCACCGGATTGTCCAGCGAAAAAGGTACAATATTGACCAAGATTGTACAGGAAGGTGTAATGAGTTCTTATCATGATGCAGATATTTTAACACCAATATGGATGAAGTCTTCTAG